TCCCTCTCTTAATGCAGCCTAGCACCTTGTTGGCTTTTTGGGCAGCTGCAGTACACTGCTGGCTCATATTTAGATGATTGTCCACCAGGACTCTGAGATCCCTCTCTCAGTTACTAACGGTACTATTGAGCCAAGTACCACCTATACTATACCCGTGCATTTGGTTTTTCTTGCCTAAATGCAGAACTTTTTTTTTTCACCATTGCATATCCTCCACCAGTAACACAATGTCTGGCTTGTCCATTGTTTATTAATATTTGAATTCAGAATATTTATTATATAAGTTTCATTAAAACTACTGTAAAATCACACCAGAAACATTTTCCAGATTGTATAAAGGTACTTCAAACATGATGGAAATGTGGAAAACATGAAGGGTCATTGTATCAGCTAGAAAACTTTGAATTCAAATACACATAGAGATACAAAGAATTTAGAGATTAATATTCAGCTGAAACCAGAGGAGTTTTTTGTTGAGACTAATGAACAGAATTGAAAAGGTCTCCAGAAGATTGTTTTTGTATATAATATCTGCAGTGAGATTATTAGATGCACAAAGATGGAACAACTGTGAAATACAATAAAGGAATGAAAATGACAGAATTTGCAGAGATGGCCAAATTGACTTGCCTGATTAAGAAAAAGACAACTACGTTTATCAGTGATTTTACAGAGTTTTTTCTGAAAACAGAAAAAACATACAGTAGTTTTGATATCAGAATATAGAAAGGAACCATGATATAACTATAGAGACAATTGGAATAAAATATAAATGCATTTATATTTGTGTAAAGAAGATCAGAAACTGCTCCTTTATATCTTTTTTCTTTTCTTTTTCTTGTGTATTTACTCACTTATCAGTTTTCTTTACTTTTTTAATTTTTTAATTTTTATTGTTTTTGCTCTCTAAAAAATCACTCCAATAAAAATTAATTTTGAAATAGTAGTAAACTTTTTCCTATTTCAGACTCATTAAAAGTAAACTTTTTCCTACTTCAGACTCATTAGCTCCCTGGAAAAGGCTCTAATTCTAAGAAAGATGGAAGGAAAGAAAAAAAAAACAGCAACAAGGTGGATGGACTCAGTAGCAAGAGCGACGAGTACGATGAAAGGCCAAAAAGACCAACTTAAGCATAAATTATTATGGAGAAAAATTTGCTATGTGGTCACTAGAAGTAAAGAATGACTTGATGGCACATAATCAATTTTAAAAAAGGTTTTCAGCAGCTTCCATAATATATCTATGCTCCTATCCCTTTGTTTTTATGCTCAACCACAAAGGAGTTGGGCATGAAGGGATTGTTGGGAGCTGTGAAGCATAAGGTCTGAATGAAATAAAGTGGGACACTAGCAGTTAAAATGTATTACATATAGATGTGTCATTTAAAACCATCCTAGCCATATATTTAAAAAATCTGTATACACAGTAAGCTATTTTCACACATTAGTAAAATGAAATAATATGATATAGATTTAGACAGTGCACAAAATATCTGATTTATCACTTCATGTATTACAATTTGATTGCCAAAGGTTATCTATAAAAAGAGCAACTGCCTAATTTGCAAACTTGTAATAGCAATCTCCAGCTATAAAAAAAACTAGGACATTCCTTTCATCAACACATTATGTCAAACTTGCTACATTATTATTAAGTTACATTCCTCTCTAGAAACAAGTATCAAAACAATTGTAGCAGTAATTAGTCTGGGATTTTAAAATACTCAATACATCCAAGGGTGAAAGGCACTCCATTGTTTCTAATTTCTATTTAATTGAAACATTAACTTGGATTATGTGCTGCTTGCAGAGATTTCATTACTTTAATCTGATCATGCACATGTACATTTGCTGCTAGAAAATGACCTCAATAATATACAGTAAAGCTCTTTTGTTAACAGATAAGTAATAGGGGAATAGACGTTCTTGGAAAGGGGGAAGTTAGAAATAGGATGAGATGATAGAGCAAATAATTTGTAATACACACTAATTATGAATATAAAACTGAAAAAATGTACTGGTAAATAGTTTTAATTATTTCTACCTCACAATCTTTGAAGATGGGCTTTCCCAGCATCTTTCATATAGTGTTTGAGCACAATGAGACAAATACATACAAGGTCAGACTCAGTAAATGTTACAATTGTCAAATATGAAGTGAACAGTGAATCTTTTAAACAATCTTTTGTGAAGTACAATTTGACCTGTACAGATTGTATTTCAACAACACCCACTCCAAACCTGATCTTGTATTCTGTACAGATGCTTTAGGCCAGCTGGTTAAATCAACTTCATTTTAGCAACAGCCTAAAGTGAACCCATAACATAATAAAATCTCATGTTTTTAATAATTTTACTGATAGATCTTTAGCCTGGGGCGACACAGCATAATTAACCTGTTTATCATCCTCTGTTCATTAGATGTATTCATTTTAAATCAATTGCATCTGATTTTGTTTCTAAAAAAAGCAGTTTTGAAGAGTAGTGAAATAGATTCTGATTCTATACCCTTTAATTAGCTGTGACCCATTTTAGCTACCTGATCATTATGTATTCATTGGAGCATAGAAAAGCTGTCCTGCTATTTACATCAGGGAATTGTATCCAAATCAGTCTGCAACAAACACCCATAGGAAATTATGCTTAAGATATTGAAATTATATTATTCCCTGACTTAATTATTACACATTGGTCTTTATTCAGATTCATATTGGGTGACCACTTTTAAGCAGAAGCCAACTCATACAAGCCATTAGAAACTGAGAACCACAGCCACTGAGAACTTAACTTAATAATTTAAGATACAGAAAAAAAGAATGAAGTGTACAGTATGCTCAATTTCAGAATACCTACTCAAGATAAATTTAAATACAATCTTTTATCTAAAAGATTCAGCATGAGCACCAAAAGACATAATTCATTAGAGCCGGAGCCATGTTAATAGAACCATTTATTATTCCAAGAGAATCCATCCTTATTCAGTTTGGAAAAAAGTAAGGAGGAAAATCTCTATATGCATGTTTAAACCTATAATTTATGAATAAGAGAAACTGTGAAAATTCTTGGTCTCATTATCCAGATTTCCTATGAAGTTTTCTAGCCATACCCAGCACTGAATTCTGATATTTTTGTGTATTCTGAAAAAAAAAAACACTTGCAGCATTCATTATCACATTATTGGAAAACAAAATGGAACACAGATTAAACTTCTTCCCTCTGACATAGTACATACAATTTCTCCTTACATTTAGATTTTTTTTTAACTTGGCACCTCAACAGGGAGCCTAGCAACAAAGTTTCATATATTTTGCAGTTGTATATTCATAACATTTTTAGATGACCTTCATAGGACATATAGTAACTTCAGATATAATCCAGAATACCAGTTAAAATACTGAATATATTAATACCTTGTTTTCAAATCTTACTGATAGTTCAAACCTTATTAGATTATGCATTTATTTAAGATATTTATAAAGTTACCCCTCTCATAATTTGTGACTTTGGTAGCAAGTAATAAAAAAAGTCAAAATCAAGAAAGAAAAATATACTATCCAAAGCCAGAATAAACAATAAAAAGCAACAGATAACACTTATTCAAGGCTAACAATAATATACATTAACAGAATAGGCTTCTGGCACTTTTTGGTAATAATTTTATTAGATTTTGAAACAAGAAAAAGTGACAGAAAATACAGAAGGAAGGAAGGAAGGAAGGAAGGAAGGAAGGAAGGAAGGAAGGAAGGAAGGAAGGAAGGAAGGAAGGAAGGAAGGAAGGAAGGAAGGAAGGAAGGAAAAAAATGATTGATTTTCTTTTACAATAGTTAGCCCCTTTTGAACTTTTTGCACAAAACTGAAAAAAATAAAATTAAGATATATGGGTTTCAGTAGAAAAAAATGATAGAAAAAATGAACACTATGTTGCAACCATAAAGAATTTAATTTAAATTTATATCTATAAGAGGGCTTTGGCACTTCTGAAGAATATTAAACTGGTGAGCAAAATAACACTATACTACTCATGTTACCTGAGGATACAATACTACACAACAAGTCAGAAGTAACCAGTTCTATACATGATCAAACCCTAAAAATGAACTTAGTTCTTTTTTAATAATTTCCTATAGATGATAGCAATTTGAATGCACCCCAATTTGAAGTTTCAAATGCATCGCCATTTTTTTTTTACTTTGTGCATCACAAAGGAGTTTGCAGTCTGATTACTATAATGTTAAAGTTTCTACATAATAAACATACTGATTGCAGCTGCCTTGTCAAAGAGAAACAGCATCAAGGAAGGGGGAAAAAAATCCCTGGGGACCTTAATGCTAAACTCAAAAAGCAGTGCACTAGTGTAGATTGTTGGCAGACACGAACAATGGCACCATGAAAGATCACACTGTAATCTTAAACTGCCGAGAGTGATGCCTACGAATACATAGCAGTACTTAAGAAGGGCTGATGAGAAGAAATAGGAATACAAAGGACTCCAGAGAGCCCAGGGAATATTTGCAGTAGTGAAGTAGTAACCAAAACAAAACGTCGCGGAGGCCACGTGATAATAAGAAAAAGCCCAGCCAGCTCCAAAGGAGAAGAGCATCGAGGGAAACAAAAGAGGCAGACCCAGGTTCCCTCCGTCTCCACCGCAATCGCAACCCCTTTTGCCTGGGCTTTTCGCAACTGTCAGCTTGGCTTCAATAACTACCACAGGGGAAAAAAAAAAAAAAGTCAAGCCAGCCAGACTTGCAGGGAAGTGAGCAATAGCGATTTAAAGCAGCTTTTTTATGCAAAAGAGAGGGACAAAATGCCAGGGAACCCAGCCAGATCGGGAGATGACCTTAAGCAAGGCCGAAGTCTGGTTTTGTCTTCAGGGCGAGAGAAACAAGAAGGCGGGGAGATAAAGCGTCGACGGGCTCCCATTAAGGCGAGTCAGGACCGGGAGGGCTGGAATTAAAGAGGAACGGGAGGCGCCATCACTCGCCTTCGTCTCAGCACGTTACCTGCAGGCGACTTGCTTAGTCCAACAGCTGATGCTTCCCCCTCCGGCTCCGGCGGATGGTGGCTGAGGCTCGGTTGTGGGGAGGCTGGAGGCCGTGGTGGTGAGGGTGGTGGCGGAGTCGCCAGCGCTGGAAGCCGTGACAACCGCTGCCGTGGCTGTCGCTCCCGCTACTCCGCCACCACCGGGGGCCACCGCAGCCTCCGCCATTATTGTTTACCCCACACAGCGACGGCCCCACCGGAACTTCCGGGAACGCATCCTTCCGGCTGGTTGCACGGGGCGGGGCAAAGCTCGAGGGGGGGGAGCGAAAAGAACAGGAGGCGGATTTTGCTTCCCTTTTCGCCTGGAGGGGAGGGGGGAATAAGTAGAGCGCTCTGCTCCTTGTCGCTGTTCGATAAGCCTCGCCCACTATGATGGAGGAGGGTCTGCGGTTAGCTATTGGAGTAGGAGGAGAAGGAGGCGGGAATTTGGGGGGTGGGGGGGAGGAAACATCAGGAAACCGTCAGGGGTCTGCACGGGGCAGGCCGGTTGATGTGCTAAAATTAAATAGCGTGGCGTGTTGTTTCTGTTGCCTTTCGTGTTTTGCGCTCGAGGTGCAGGCTCGTGGGGAAGGATTCTCATTCAGGCAATAGAAACAAGCATGTTAAAACTGGTATTTATTGACGTTTCAACTTCGGCAATGTACTTAAGCAGATTCTGTGTATATAGCGCCTGTATATGCATATTTAGAATACGTGTAGAAATAAAAATTCAGCTCTTAGATCATTCTTGACTCGGTGACTTCATTTGCAGAGTTATACATATATACAGCTATATATACCTACACCTTTACATATTAATACATATACATATTAATCACTGTCCACTCTGTATTCAAGATGGACACATTAATATATGTAAGGGTGTAGATATATACATGTATGTATATAGCATGTTTGTGTGTTATGTATGTGTACACTTCTGGGAGCAGGCAACAGAATTTCATTTTAAACGTGTGCCAGTGTGCCCACAGTAAAAAATGACAATAAAGGTTACCTAATGTTGCTGCTACTTGTCCCAGCAATGACTATCCTAAAATGCAGGAAAAGGTATTTTTAGTTTCTCTATTAATGGAATACTGCTAAGAGCTCTGTTAAAAAAACTTATAAGAACATTGTCCCAAAGGTGGTTTTTCAAGAAGCAACTGGACTTTCTTGTTTTCTTTGAAGACCTTTCGCTTCTCATCCAAGAAGCTTCTTCAGCTTTGACTCAGTTGCTGTTGAGAAAGCATCTTTGGGACAACCCTGAGCTGGATGATTGAGAATCTCCATAGACATTTAGCTGGGCACTTTATAAGAATATTAAAAACTAAACCTTTAAATGAAAAAATAAATACAAGAAAAATGAAATCTGCTTCACTTTAATGAATTTGATCTATATTTGAGTAATCTGCTATTTTAAGTAATATTAAAAAAACTAAATAGGGTTCTTGTGCTAATGAATGACATAAAGCTAAAATACAGTTCATCAATTTGACTCATTGTGTTAATTCAGTCAATGTTGATTTATGGTTTAATGAAAATGCAAACTCAGACAGCTGGATTTATACACTTATTAAATTAATTCATTTATTAAATAATTGGTTTTGAACATATTCTATGAACTCAGATATTGTAGTTTTTAAGCAACGTTTTGTAAGGTTTTTCAGCTCAGAATCTAAACAAATCTCAATGAAACTCTGAACACCAGGCTACTGCAAAAGAAACATTTTATTTTTGATCAAAGGCAAAACCGGGTGTTCCCAATCTCTTGTCCCCCGACACAGCGAGACAGAAGAGAAAAGGCACACACTAATAAAAAAAGTTTTCCCCTTTATAGCTAATGAGCTTTCTCAAGATAGTAATTCTTGTGCAGCTAAAGATTTCTTTTCGTCCAATACACATTTCCTTATGTATCAAGTTAAGCACAACTTGTTACAACTCTACACTCCGAATACACAATTGCTGGCATGCAGCCCTGGGCCTTTTTCTCCTTGAGGAGTACATTTAAAATTACAGCTAAACTTTTTCTCTTTGGTCAGCACAATTTTAAGTTACATCAAGGCGAGGTACAGAAAGCAAGCAGGAAAGAATGAACAATAGCTGGGTTATTCATAAAAGATTTTATTCTGATCCCTTCAGTTTTATAACTTAGCATTTGTGTTAACCCAATTATGACTTATTTGATAAAATGATTAAATTACAATTTAGGATAACACATGAATCAGTTGATCAACATTTAGATATCACCAGCGGAAATATAACTTCATCTGTCCTTCTGTCCTCAACATGGAGAGTTGTTTTTATTTATTTACTTCTGAAAAGTAAGAATATTTCTAAACATTCCATCATAGCTCCTTGACTGAGCAGGTGGTGAGGGACTCATTTCAATCAACTAAAATTTAAACCCTCACAGCTAATAGTGGAGATTTCAAAGAATAATGAATAGCCAGGAGGAATGCAAGTTAGGTGTTCATCTTATTTTGGAGGATAAATTGACAAAACTACTTTTTGCAATACTGTTACCTTTTGTATTTTCATTTAACTTTTCTGAAAATATAGTGCTTCAGAGATTTATTCAAATCTGCTTTTAATTTCTCAAAAAGAAATTTCTCAACTGATGCTGGAAATTTGATATTTTAGCCTCCCCTTTCTTTAGGACATTGAATGGTCCAGCCTGCCACCTGTTTTTTTCTGTTAATGTTAATGATAAATGGAGTTGGTCAGCACTAGTCTGGAGCTGAAATGCAGCACAGCTGAAGCTGCCAAGATCCTTCTGTTGCAATTCCACCCTCCCCCCCATGAAAATTTCAGTCAGCGTATGATCTTAAGAAAGAAATGCAGAGGTAAGGAATTGGCTATATAATCATTTTTTTCTCAGAACAAAGATGAAAGTTCTTTAAATGTTAGATCATCACACATTTTGTGGGAAACAAAAATTTCTCACCATGACAATCCAAAATAGTTTATTGGGAATACTGTACAGTATTGGCTGAGATAGATGGAAGGTTTAAAAATACATTGGTGAAACTTGCTTAGTTTTTAAAGTAAACATGGACAGAAGTTTAAGCTGTTTTGAAATTAAACCAAACAGCATTTGATTGAGAAGTATATTAATTTACCCTTCCTTGGCATCTGAACTAGAGTCACAAGTCTTTAATAGTCAAGGCCAAAGATGCCTTTTGCAATGTTGAAGTGGAGGAATAGATGCAAGGCTGTAATTAAAACTGATGTGGTTAAAATTGATTATAAGAAATAATCCCATGAAATATTTTAAATTATTTTTAATTGAAGCAGAAACAAAAATGTTACAAGACAAAAAAAAGCTGTCCCCCCCCCTACCTCTTTGACATCTAGTTTTGTCTGCAGAGTTGTTTGTTATTTTGTATAATCTGCTGAAATAGATTTTGCTGTTTTGTATAATGTTAGTTGAGATCCCAATGAAACAAAGTGAAGTGGGGTTGCACTTCTGAAAGGGTTTGGAATTATGCTTTTAAAATACAACACAGCACACTGCAGATGTTTTAGCTTTTTGTCTACATTAATCTTTTTAAGTATGGAAGGACACAACTCACTTGCTCCTTTGCTGCACAAAGTTGCAGTTTAAAGTACTTTACTACAGTTAAATGCCCTACTATTCTACATATCACCTCTGAACCTAGTGAAAAGAATTAGTACATTGCAGGATCCAATATGTGTGCACACATTCCCTTAGAGAGAAGTTCCCTGAGGATGGGCTTCAATACAAGTCTGAAAGTTCAGAAGACTAAACCTCTGGTCCTGGTGTATGACCCAGATTGGATCCTGCAACATTATCCTGGGACACACATATTTGCCTTCATTCGTGAGAATTGGTATATAAATATAGTAGACCAGTGGTTCTCAATCTTTTTAATGCCACGACCCCCAACTGGTCGTAATTTGAGGACTACTCAACCGGTCGTAAGTCGAGGACTACTCAACTGGTGCAGTACCATTTGCAGAATGGGACTTTTGGTGGGCTCAGCAGGGCAGAGACAGCCTGGACAATTCAAGAGAGTCTATTCTATTGGCTTTCAAAAGCCAATAGAATAAAAGCGAGTAGCACAGCTAAGGAAAAGGGGAAAAAAATGGTGGACTGCGTTGTTTGGCGAGCCCCGTGAAATGGTCGTTCGACCCCAAATGGGGTCCCGACCCACAGGTTGAGAACCACTGTAGTAGACAAATTTCAGAGATTCCCTTAATGTGTTCCCATTTTTAATAATGATTCGTTTCAGTTTTCAATGTAATAATAGATGTATTTCCATATTACTCAAATCATGTGGTTAAATAGGATTGGGTCTAAGAAGAACTAAAATAATAATTTAATCCATTTCAGCCCTAATACTAGAATGTTTTCAGTTCTATTAGAGATCTGAATGGAGATGATAATATCTCACTGTCTTGAATTTATCATAGTTACAAAACATCTTGTGGCTGGATTTACAATCAAAGTGACAATCAACCAAGTTATATTATTGCTTAATCTGTCAGCCTGAATTCTGTCTTGATTTTTATACATTCTTCTATAACACAAATATTTTTATTTTGTATATTGTATTGCATGTACTACCATTTCATTTTTTACAGATCTGCATTCATGAATTGGTTTTCTGTTCTGGCAAAAAATGACTGGAGGACCACCTTTATATTGTGGAACAGCAATGCTGCGTTGCCTCATTATCTACCCACTTTGAGAAGATATTTGCATAGTCAGTGTATTCTGAAGAGATTACTCCTTTTTTTGGAGGCTGTGGTGATCAAATGTAAAAGAGGCAGGCATAATTTAACTTGCATGCAATTGTTAAAAATGGAATTTTGTGTCTGGACTGTAGAGTCAAAGAATTTGGTTTGCTTTCCATTTTAAGTGAATGGACCAAATTCTATTTTTTTTTTTTTATTAAAGTTGCAGCTTTAATCACCGTAGAGTGTATGCCTTTGAATAACATTGTTAATGAGGAAAGTTGCTACCAGACTCCTACTTTTCACAAAAATGTCTTTCAATTTTACTCACCTCCTGATTAAAACATATTGATATGACATCAGTGCAATAAAGAATAAAATATATAATATTAAGCAAAATTAAGCAACACAAAATCATTCTGTATATTTGTAGTTAAATCATAGAGTAAAACTGAGAGAGGGCAAAAAATATGCCATTATCTTAATTATAGATTTTCAAATGAAAAATAAACTATTTTCTAGACTGTAGATTATAAGGGCTTCAGGCTATCATGAAAATACCTCTGTTTTTGAAAGAAATGATGATTTGTGGATTTAAAGATTAAGAAAGATATTATTGAATTAGGGGCCAAAGGGATTTGTATGATATCTAAGATAGTAAAATTGTAATCGTCTGGTAAAATGATTGGAAGTTAAACAAATTATTTTCTTTTTTTCTTTTTAATTTCTTTAATTTCTTTTTTCATTCTATATAAAAATTCTTAAATAACTTTTTAAAAAGAAAATATTTCTGTTTTAAACTCAAGTTAATGAAATCTGCATTTTTTGATATTATTTTGTGGATTTTTCATTGTCAGTTATTATTTCTTCTTTGTATGTTTTAACAGTAACCTATATTGTGCATTTTTATTTTTAAACTTGTTTTCTAACAAGAATGACTGTAGCCAGAGGGGTAGTCATATAAATTTAAATAACTAATCTCTGATATTTGAATAAGTGGGTAATCATATTCTGTAGATAGAATAGATTTTCTAACTGATTGTTATTATAACAGAAAACTAATGAAAATAAAGTGGATTATATCTCCCCTATAATGCAGCAGATGGAGATATTACACAGTATTACACAATAATACCCAATTTTCTTAATATTTGTCTAATATAAAAAACTATGCCTCAGTCCAGAGTTTCTGTTTAATTATTATACCAGGAAGGTATATTTATCCTACTCAACAAGGAACAATCACCAGAGTTATTTTATGGGCTTTCATAAGTCATAGATTATAATTTGTGTAGCCTATATTCTGTATATTATGTAGCTATAGGAGTCCATTTTAGCCAGTAACTAATGTGTTGATGTGCTGGCAAAAACAATGGCTATGTCCTTATTTCCATCCTCAAATAAATTGAGTGCTTTTTAGGATCCATAAAACCATTTTAAGATAATTGTTGGAAGATATGTAATTGATCAAATTAATATAAGCCTTATCTTTTAATCTCATATAATACCTGGTATTGTAGTTATAATTTGTGCTTTAATAATCTGAGAATAAAGCATACCTATCTGCTGCCAGGCTTGGTCCAGAATCTTAGGAAAACGTTCTTGATTGGACCAACCTTTCATCTTAATGCTTTTATTTAAAAATGTCTTGAGTTTGAAATATTAAATTTCAAGTTAGTATTAAGTGAAAACTAGTTCATTTATTTTTGGCCAACATATCATTTGTGGGGTTTTTCTGCCTAAGCATATCTACTTTATATTTATCACAATTAAATGTTAACATATTATTTTGGCAGTAACATCTAAGCCCTGTCTGGGCATAAGAAAATAAAACCATATCAGTTGCATGGCATAAAAGTGAGATATTTCTTCCTTAAATAGACAAAAGAAAGAAATGCAGGTTAGTTCTTGAATTGAATCATTAAATTAAATATATTTTATTTTAGATGGTGACTTCAACATTCATCCCTTGGTAAAAGAAGCTATGGAGAGTAGAAAACCAGTTGTTGCCTTGGAAAGCACTATAGTCACACATGGCATGCCATATCCACAGAATCTGAGGTAGGCTACTTCAAGCTTTTATCTCATGCTTCAATTAATGTTAGGTGGATGTGCTTTTTAGATAACCTTGGATATTCTCCTACTTGTACCTAGCCAAATAAAAATGTGCTCTGGAAATTTTTCTTTTTCTGCTATGTCCTCTAAGACAGGGGTCCCCAACCCCTGTTCCGTGGACTGGCACCGGGCTGTAGCATGCCAGAAACCAGGCCATGTAGACAAGTGAATCCCCATCTGTGGGAAACCACGCCCCCTCCTGTCTGCAAAAAAACCTCGCTCCATGAAACCGGTCCCTGTTGCCCAAAAGGTTGGAGGCCACTGCTCTAGGAAATCATTCAATTTATTCCCACTAATGAGCGAAACATTCTTAAATCATCTTTACATATATCCGCATTAAAGTACTGTTTTCTCTCTTAAGCTAAGAGCATTTGATGCTAGCAGCAGGATGTGAGAGATATTTGCTGTCCATTACATGAGAGGCAAAATCAGAGGATCAGTTGTGGATGGGATCAGAGAGTTACTTATTGTGACCATCTTAAACTAAGACAAGTCCAAAGATGCTAGAGAATTCCTGGAAGCCTGGCACTCTGACAGCATGGCCATCAATAGACACATAGACATAAACAACATTGTGTGCAAAAGAGATAACCAACAAGTCAAAAAGGGAACAAAATGACAAAAATAGCTCCCTACCAGCAATCAGCACCTAGAGGAGCATAGATTAACAAGATTAACATCAGAGCAGCAATCAAGAAGTAAACAATATCCTAATCAAAAAATGGCCAAACAAGCTAGCAGTAAACAGCCCAACCCAAAAACCTCCAAGACTTTTCCCACTAACACTGACAGGCAAACCACTAGTAAATTGTGAGCGAATCCCATTCCTTGCTAACACTGATGATGTTACCTAATCACTAATAACACTCATCTGAACAAAGAACACCATGACAGATCATAAAACTGACCTGCCTGACCGGCTGTCCTGTGATCATGGAGGGAGTAGCATAACCATTTCAATGGCCAGAGGTGCTTTGGCTGTCATAATTTCAAACAGTCATCAAAAGACTAGAGACTACCTGTAGTAAGGCACATACTTGAACTCTCAGTCTTATAGGACTGGCCTTTTTCAGCTCTATCTCCTTTTGTCAAAATCACACTGCAAGCTCCACTTTTTCTTGAAGTGTGAATGATATCATAATGTATGTACAAAAGGGATGGCACTTGTATCAAATGAGATTGATTGATTTGATCTTCCCCCAAATTACTTATAGGTTTAGCACAGGATTGAAAAAGGGCAACAGTAGAATGACAAAATCAGACCTCTCCCTATTACCTCTCAAACAGAGAGCATAGATGGATCTGAAAGTCAACATTTGTTGTTTATATAAAGAAAAGAAAGCAGAGAGAAATCCTAAATGAAAGTTGTTTGTGACTCGCCTCTTTATGAAACTGATTTTTTTCTATTTTTTTCTTACTTTTTAGACTCAGCTTTGTTTATAACAGAATAAAATGTTAAGAGAAAAACATCTATAGTCAAACTTCCCTTTTCATACTGGAGTGCTATGACTGAGATCTTTTCCCCAGCACATAACTATTCTTGAAACAATTTTGTGAACAAAAAGCAATTTTTCTTTTTTAACTGCAAAGAAATCTTTTTCCTTTTGAAGGTTGCCTTTTTCAAGTCACTGCAACCACTGGATTATGGTTTCATCAATAACTGTATTAACTAAAAGCTAGCCAGTCGTTTGTATGTTTTATAAAGATCCAGATGCTGCCAATATAACATTCATGCATGTAGTTGGAACTAAATCTGTATATTAAGAGCAAGAGTTGTAGATTGTGCAGAAAAACGTAACTGAATAAAATGCACTATAAATGGGGCCAAGGCATTCATTCTCTGTTATCTTAAATATTTTGTTTTTTATCCTTTTCATTTTTCATTCTTTGTCTATGTTGCCATATATTGAATTTTCAAGCATGGCCAGAGAAGTGGAAGAAATTGTCAGAGAAAATGGGTGTGTGCCAGCAACTATTGGCATATTAAATGGCTGTATCCATGTGGGCTTCCAAGATGAAGAACTTGAGATCCTTGCAACAGCCAAGGACGTAATGAAGGTCTCTCGTAGAGACTTCCCCTATGTTCTCAGCCAGGTACTTGATGGAATTCCTCATTATTCTAATTTGTTTGTGTTACATAAATAATTCAGGGATAAGGGTCAGTTGATAAACGTTTTCCTGTGACTGAATCTGCAAAACAAGTACTCAAACAGCTGAGTGTTTAGGGTTTAGGATTAAGCAAAATTATCTCCAGTTGGCAGCTAGAGTTTGTTGAACTTTTCTTGGGCCTTTGAAACTTTGGAGATGCTATTACCAAACAAATTTTTGTTATTTCATATTGAATTTCATTTATGGGCTTGCTTCTCTCTGCTGCTTAAGGAAACTAATTATCTGAAGTGCAATCAGACACAGACAAAAAAAGTATACAAAAGGGTGAAAATAATCAATAGAATTTGTTTCTTAGTGTAGAGTGGCTTCTGTGTACAAAGAGTCTGAAGTCCCTTTTATACCAGCAACCTCACCAGTTTGTTTTTTTAGTTGTTTTGTGACTAGACATCTTGGCATCTATTCTGTAAATACCCGTAAATGCCGGCGTATAAGGCGACTTCCGCGAGCGCTGAAATCGGCGCCAAAGATGGGGGTCGTCTTATATGCCGAGTCGTCTTATACGCCAGAAATACTGGTAGTTTCCGGCGTATAAGACGACATTCTAGGAATGCGGCCCGGCTATAAAGACGGGGGTCGTCTTATACGCCGGGTCGCCTTGTACGCCGGCATTTACGGTAGGTAAGCCACTTATAGAAGCTATTTGATGACATGCCTTACAAATGTGCTCTTAACATTCCAGATTATCTACCACCCCCAAACAATCGCCTGTTCCACCCTTCTTAAATTCAGCATAGCGTTTTTAAAGAGTGCCTTCATTTTCTAGGGAATCTAAGCAGCCCAAGAGCAAGCTTTTCACACTGGAGTCAGCAACATTGGCATTGCCACCCTGATTTGCAACCAGCCTATAAAAAGGAGGCAAAAGGCTGTTTGACTCCATGTGAGTATGAAAAGGAACAGTAGTTCTCAGTCTCTCTGTTTTGTATATGCTTGGAAGTTACCATACATCCGGTAACCTCATGTTTGCTTTTCAATTCATAGAGTCATAAAACCTTATGAGTTGGAGAAAAAGCTCAGATACCCATTCAGCATCTTGAATCCGACCAGTGACTAAGGAGTTCTTTTCACTGCTGAGTAGTGCTTACTATTCAGTGGTTTCTCCTAATGTTCCATAAGACATGACGTTTTCTGCAAAAATTATTTATTTTAATCTCAGTGTCCAAGGCAACAGAGAATGTGTCATTTGTACAAGAGCTCTTCAAATATTTGAAGTCTCTATTATGACACCCTGTAATTTTTCCTCAGCTATTCCTCCCACAATCCTTATTATCATTGTTGCCTGAATGTCTAGGAAAAAAACATTTGGGAAGAAAGGCAGGTCCTTGTTATCAAAGATAAGGCCATAAGGCAAATACAAAGTATTGGGGTTTAAAAGTGCATTATGTAAAAAGGGGAGCTGGACTGTTTTTTGAGGAAGAAGAAGAAGTTTTGTTTCTTGGATGGGAAACCAAATATCTTCTTTTTCTTCTTCCTCAAAAAATAGTCCAGAAGACTGAAAATCTCCATAGATATATTGGAGTTTAGCTGAATTCTCAGATTGAATTAGCATAGGATTGATTCACACATTGCACTAAACCATAATGCTATGTGTATTTTTTTGTTCAGAATAATATAGAAAACTAATGTTTTAGCTTATTATTATAGGTGAAGGCCATTATAGATTGTTCAACAAACAATGATTTCAAAAATTGCCATCTTAACTTTATTTATGAAAACATTTCAACCTTTCACACATATCATTTATTGCTTATTTGAAAAATATGAAATCTGAATAATGATTGATTGTTCTATGACAGGGATTGTCTGGGGGAACTACTGTGGCAGGAACCATGGTTGTGGCACATAAAGCAAGAATTCCAGTATTTGTAACTGGAGGAATTGGAGGGGTCCACCGGGGAGGAGAAAAGAGTAAGACAAACATCATTTTAATTACAAATCAAAGCCTTAATTCCCAAATGCTGTGTTACAAAACCATCTACCATTTTGTTATCCCCTATTGATGGAGCCCTAATAGGGACTCAATACTTATTTGTTGTTATGCTGATTAAGCACATATTCACCTCTGCAGCTGGCTGAGTAACTGACGTAAAGTAAAGGCATGAAGGGAAATAAGCTTCATTTGTTCAAGATACTTAGTATAGTTTTCCTTTGTTCAATGTTTCTGTGTAAATGCATTTTTTCACTGAGCCTTGCATATAATATTTATAAAGATCTCCAGTTACAGGTTTCCAAATAATGGATGCTAAAAAAGACTTCTGATTGAGCACGAAAAAAAATCCATTTCTACCTAAGAACCAAACTAAACAATGTATCAGATTTATTACATGTAAAGAGTGTAATAAATTTATTATTAATGCATTTATCTTTCAAAAACTGCTGTTTTCAGGGATATAGGGAACCAGCAAAGGAGATGAAGATGCAAATTTACTGGGATGGAAATTCTACTGGGAATCAGCCCCTGATGATCAGTGTTATGACCAGGGCCTCCAATTGCACAAAATCCCAGTATATCCCTGTTCATTCCATAGAAGGGGAACTTCATATTAAGATTTTTTGCTCTCTCTGAAATGGACGATCCATTTAGAATAGGAGAGAACAAGCATCTTAGGCATTTGACCACTTGTTCTCAGTCCAAGAAGAGGCGGTCCATTTTGTTGGTGGAGTGGACACAATTGCACTGACTTTTCAGCAACTCTTTTTAATAGAATAACAGAGTTGGAAGGGACCTTGGAGGTCTTCCAGTCCAACTCTCTACTCAAGCAGGAAATTATACCATTTCAGACAAATGGTTGTCCAATCTCTTCTTAAAAACCGCCAGTGTTGGAGCATTCACAACTTCTGGAAGCAAGTCATTCCACTGATTAATTGTTCTAACTGTCAGGAAATTTCTCCTTAGTTCTAGATTGGTTCTCTCCTTGATTAGAGCCCATCCATTGCTTCTTGTCCTGCCTTCAGGTGCTTTGGAGAATAGTTGATTCCTTTGTGGCAACTCCTGGGATATTGGAACACTGCTATCATGTCACCCGTAGTCCTTCTTTTCATTCTTTTCAACTTTTAATGTCAGGATAGAAATCAAGTCCTGCAATGAGGGCAAACTCAGGAAAAAAGAACCTCTTGGTGTAAGGAAGGATCTTTATTGTTAAGAGGGTAATGTATCAGAATCTTGAAAGCCTGTCAAAGCAATTCTGTCATTCAACTAATGACTAATTGTTATTTGTCCTGACTTTGATCCTGGAGTCATGCAGCTCTGACCTCATCCAATTCTTGTTCTCTCCTCCTTGCCACTTCACAACAACATTGGTGTCATCTCTTGACCATGACATCCCCCCACTCTCTTTCTATGGAGTATAATTAGACTGACCATATTTTTTTACCCCAATGCTATATAGTCCTGTCACCATTTAAGAAGAACTACATATCAAAAATAGAAAAAGAATTGCAGTGGCAAACAAACTTGAGTAATAAATCAATCTTTCCTTACCTAAACAGATACGGTTAGGCAAAAAAAGCAGTATAAGCAGGAGCAGGAACTTCCTGCTGGCTTCCCCATTGACTTTACTCATGGGCAACTGGCAAGAAGCATCAGAAATCATGATTGCATGCTGTAGAGATGCTCCAACAATCACAAATTTGTGAATAAACTGGTCTGGACATCCTGGAAATTTCAATTTCATTGGAGTAATAAATCCCAGATTTTTTATGCATTCTTTAAGCTAGCAGCTTTTAGTACCTTAATTCAAAAATTATTACAGTATAATGTACCATTTAGGCTAACTTAATGATACAAATAGATAAACACAATGAGAATTTTAGTGATAGGTATATCAATCCCCAAAAGGCACTCTCTTATTTTTTTTCTTTGACTTTTTGAGCTTGATATTTTCAGGCCCGGACCATTTTTTTCTTCCTTTGTTCAGACATGTTTGTACTACTAAGTATTATTTAATCCTTGAGAGGTCACATTGGCTCACAGTATGCACCATTACTGCTTTTTAATTTTATTGTGTTTTTGGGAAGTTTTCAGTTTTGGTATCCCAGGCCAATGCCTACTCAGTCTTAGCCTGGAGCGAGCTCTGACTGAGGGAGAGGGATCCTTAATAGCATAAGGCAACTTCATATGGAAGGATGAATGGATTCCTTCCATTCCCCACCATTCAGTTAGAACTGAAGAAGCTTCTTGAATGAGAAGCAAAATGTTTTCAAGGAAGAAAAACCCAAGAAAGTTCAATTGCCTTTGGAAAAGTACCTTTGGGGCAACTTAATATGTTATTTCATTATAGCATTTTAATATTTTTCTCCTGGGAATTGTGAAAGAAATTGGGTAATATGTGAGATGTTTCTCCAGAATTTGTACTGATATTTTATCCTATCTTTTTCAGCTTTAGATGTGAGTGCTGATCTGACTGAGTTAAGTCGTACTCCAGTTGCTGTAATTTCTGCAGGTGTTAAGTCTATACTTGATATTGGCAGGACACTGGAGTATCTGGTAAGCTATAAAAATTATAGAATTTCAACATTGGCTCTATGTCTCAAAATGTCAGGCCTGGTATATTAAGAAGTGGGAACTTTGCCTGTTTGAAGGAGAGATTGAAGTGATCTGTGGGTATTTGGAGTTTACATATATTTTAAAATACATAAAATGCTGGGAATGTTGGATGGTACTTTTTCTGTGGCAACTTCTGATTGTGGAATCCTCTTCTTATTTAGTTTTAGAAGATTGTCATACATTTTGCTGAATGACCTTAAGCAATTTACAAGTCTGGTTTTTAAATGAGATGTTTTCCTATTTTGTTTAATATGATTTATTTTTATATTTTATTGATCTTAATTTGTAATATTTTGACTTTAAAAGAGGCAAATACTGTTATTAAAATAATGTATTAAAATATCAAAATAAAATTAATATCCCTGTATTTCCTAGCAGCTAGAAATGGAATTAAAATTGTTTGCATGCAGCAGGATTAGGAAATGATTTGGTTATGGAAACTGTTCCAGAATGCAGTATTTAGACCATTGGCAGTTCAGTCCCACCATTGCAGGATACCATTAATTCTGAAGTTTTTGAATTGGTTGCCAGGACGCATCTGGCCTAGCTGAAAATGCTTGCTATTATCTGCAAAGCCTTTCACTGTATAGCTCCAAGATATATCACACACCTGGAACTATGGAGTCCCAGAGAGCAGGGCAGATATATTCCATGTCTCATATAATTGAATTAAAAAATAAATATACTATAGTTTGACCACATTGTAATTTTTAGCCTAGGATAAACAATGTTGTGCATGTAATAGAAGTAATGCTCCCAACTTTAAGAGATTGTTATCCAATTTTTAAAAGAAGAAACCTGCATTGGATATGAGCTTTTCCTTCTACATGGCATTGTGTCCTTTATATTCGCCCTTCTCGTCTTACCTCTGCAGGAAACTCAAGGAGTCTGTGTGGCCACCTTTGGAAAATCAAGAGAGTTCCCAGCCTTCTTCTCTCACCAAAGTGGCTTCCAGGCACCATATCAGGTGCAGGATGAGAAAGCTGCTGCTCAGCTGATTGGTGAGCTGTCAGTAGAATAAGATGCATCTTGGATGAGTGGAACCTGAATGGAACTTCAGTTAAGAAGCTTCTCAATTTCTCTGTCAAAAATACATTACACTCCTGGTCAAGATCAAAAACTCACTGATGTCAATAAGGTTTTCTTCTACATTAGTACACATAGGATCAAGCTAAAGCCATTCCAAAATTCTCCTCTGTATCTTCAGCTGTTTTGTCTCTCTTTCTCCTTGATGTTTTCTGCTCTATCCTTCTACAGGCTTTGAATCCTATACCCACAACTGCCATTTTTCAGCAATTCCTGAGGCCCAATTTGTACATGCCACAAAATTAAGTGCTAAAAACTTTTTGAACTGTACCACACTATTGCAGTAGAAGTTGACCAATGTTGAATGCTGTCCCTGCCCCCCCGATCAAAACCCATCCAATGCCCATCACCAAAACCCATTGAAAGTGAGTCTAGTTGACTTCTTGTTTCAATACACATTTTTTTCTGATGCAAGCATTGAAGCATAAAAATTCTTAGATGGAATCTACAGAACATGTAGAGCATATTGATTCTATTGAACTGCAGCCTTTGAACACTCAGTTGCACAAAGCATGTGCTGTTTTTCTACAGACAGCAAGCTCTCTTGTTTCTACTGCTTTTATCTTTGCAATTCTCTAATCAGTTGTTATATTTCCATTTTGTATTCCAGTTTTATGTGTTTTACAAGATGCCAATATCTATTTACTATTCCTTGTTCTAGTCAGCTTTCTGTTTTTATTTGATTGATTTTGGTCTGGCAATCAAAGCAGTAAATAAGATTTAAAACAGAGAGAATATAAAAAAATAACAGTACAGATTCAATTAGTAAATAAATGTTAAAGTTGTCTTACAGTTAAAAGATGGGGGAGTTTAACTTTGAAGAGAATGCATTCTTTAACATAAGAGAAATGCAGAAGAGTATTCCCTTCATGTTTCAGAAAGAAGAGTCTATGACATTTTCTTTCTTTAAAAGATCTCTCCTGTTACTCTTCACATTTGTCAGGTTTACATCTGTCAGGATAGACAAACTCTTAGAGAGAGTTCTTCTCTTCTACTGAACTCAGATGCTGCTTGATTTGGTAGAAAACTAACATGAAATTTGCTAATCCCATGGGTCATCCCCATCCTACCTCAACCTATTGTAATTACTTGTCTTTTCTCCAAGACACAAATACATGCTGGAGATTCCCCTTTGTGCCAAAATTAAAAATTATTGATACATCTAAGGGTCTCATTTGTTGCCTGGGAGGTAGGGGGTGAGATGAAGGCAATGTAATAGGTCCGTGACAGACAAACATTGCTAAGACATGACTCGGTTATGTACAAGTTGGGGGAAAAGTAATAGTCAGACCCTGAGCAGTTTACGACTTTAAAATATAATACAAGAACTTTAAATTATTCCTGGTAATTAGTCTGTAGTCATTACAGAATTTTCAGTACAGGAATCTTATGATCCCCTCTGTCTTTCACTGGTAAACACCACATTTTGTACCAACTGTAGCTTCTGGATACTTTTCAAGAGTAGAATATTTGTTTTGTACTCTAGACTCTGCTTAGACTTTTTGCTCACTATTGATCTACAGCAGCATCCAACCATCATCACCAATATATCAGTTATGAAGATAGGCTTTATATTACTACGATTTAGTGAAATTATAAAGTGTTGTAAACAGTAGTCAGAAACAGTGTAGCCCGATGGAGGCAGAATGGGGAGACTCATGTTTTCTTCACTTTCAGCCCCAGTTCTCTCAACCCAGTCTATTTCAGTCTTGTTCCACGCGTTATGTGTGAGACACTTTTGTTGCATGCATGTTTGTTTGCTTTTTTGTTTATTAATTCATTTTGTATGGTTACCCATCTTAACAAATGATTCTGAATAGCTCCAAATAGTGTGTAGGGAGCATTAACCATTGATTGCATTGTTTAGCAAAGATAAGGCCGTTGTCTAACAATGACTCTCTTTTCCTCAGCCAGGTCACTAACTTTGCAGCTGGGCAGTGGAGTCCTGATTGCAGTTCCCTGTCCACCACATGGAGCTGCTTCTGGGCAGCTTATTGAAGAAGCAATCCAGCAAGCTTTGGATGAGGCTCAGTAAGATTTTTTTTTAAATAAATTATCAATGTGCATAACAGTATATAACAGCACAGTAGTAGATGTGCAAAGTTTCCAGTTCAAATCTATTCATGTATAAGCTCGTGCAATGCCTTTACATAGTATCCTTCATCATTTTGTCTCAAAGCAACCTCTCAAGTATAACATGGGTTTGATCATTCTAATATTTCAGGTTAAGTATATACTGTAGTGATTTTGTATAGGAGATCCTTCGAGCATTCAGCAAGAGAGCAATGTAAATTCTAGGAATGTTAAGTTTTAACTAAACAGCTAAGGGGGTCCAAATCTGTACAATGGCAGATTATGGTTTATGATCCAAAAAAGGAGGGGGCTGGGATTGCAACATTGTGTCATCTATTCTCCAGATTTAATACCTCCACCCCCACCCACCCCACCCCCATGAACACCCCTGCCTCCAAGCAAGATTGTTGTACATGCCTAGGTATGATTTTTTTCTAACTTCTGCAACAGTAGGTAATGTTAAAGTAGTGGATAGCGTACAACTAGTTCTCTTGCTGTTTTGTTTAAAGACCATATATCACTATTAGGGCCATAATGCTGACAGAGGGCTAAATCTTCCACAATTCAAAACCTGCATGATTCAGAGGAAGAGACACTTGTGTTTTTTCATTCATTGAGCATTTCAGCTTCGGGGACAGATTGAATTAGGTAAATAACGCTGTGATCCCAGTTCAGATTGCTTTCTCCAATATTTGCCATTTTAATAGTTTGAGCAAATGCAACCACAGATCCCCTATTGTGTTTCCCATCCAAAATATATCATCCTTGTGGAAGCTTCCTTCAAGGTTCCTCCCAATCAGAAGGCTTTTGATAAGGGGTTTTTCTTTCTTTCTTTTTCTTTTGCAAAATATCTAACTTTGTAAATGGATTAGCTATCAATCGTGCAAAGCTATGCTTGTTGTTCCACTTACAGGGAAAAAAAGATCACAGGAAAGGAGCTTACGCCCTTTTTGCTGCAGAGGGTAAATGAGTTATCTGGTGGAGAGTCACTGAAGTCCAGTATCCTTTCCTATCTTACAGCATCTTCAGCACCCTTTTGAACTCTCCCCCCAAATGCAACTTCATAATTTCTTCTTGCAGTATCCATATAGAGTTCTGCAATATTGCTACCTGACCTGTCCTTCAAAAGTCACTCCCAACGCATCTTTTTGCTGATCTTGCTGAAGTTGGAAGAGCAAAACAGCTCAAATTGCTCTGAGGGTGGGCAGCCAAGGAAAGCAGTCAGAAAGGAAAGAATGGAGGCAGTACATAAGCAGGCATGGTTCCTCCATCTGTGAGACAGAGGATCATGAATCCAAATTGCTCCTTCAGGAAAGTCATGACTGAGAAGTTATTCCTATTTGCAAAATGTTTATGGTAATTTACAGCCAGACTGTGTCAATGTCATCAGGCTTAAGTAGGGTTTTCCTCCTATGTCTACACACTGGGCTTCCCAAAATATCAGATACTTTACCAGTTTGGTTTCTTATTGTTTCTTGTGAAATTGGTATTCATATTTTTTCTAGAAGAGACTACCCTAGAAACCTGACTCTCCTTGTCATCAACAAAAATCCTTAGTTTCCCTTTTGACTTGGAAGATATCTGTGTTTTAGGCATAATAGTGGGATTGTTGGGAGTCAGTAGGAACATTTGTCAGAGGAAAGAGGTTCATCTGTGCAAGATTCAAATTCATACTTCCCTCTTCATCTTAAAATTCAGAGTCCCTAGAAAGAAGGTCTAGACTGAGCCAGTCTTCGGCAAACGACAACATTTAGAAAATCTTCCTTGGAAACAGAAACAATTAACTTGATCTGTGGCACTGTGTTTATAAGCAGCAGACCTTCCAACCGAGAGTCATTGAAAGGATTCCAATAGAGTCCTTCATGCTCTACTGCATGACTCAGCTCAACTGCTTTGCCAAGGTGTTTGCAGAAGCTGGACTAGATGGAATTACAAAACCTTTTGATCTTAAATTCTTATAGCAATCATTTGAAAAATCCAGTAAGCTTGTTTCATGGTTGGGTGATATTTCTTACTGCATTGTAACAGTGGAATCAGAAAATATTAGGATGGCTATATATACATATACATATACATATACGTGTGTGTGTGTGTGTGTGTGTGTGTGTGTGTGTGTGTGTGTGTAAAGTTTAATGGAAACATTCATTTTTTCTATAATGTATTTTCTCTTTTGAAGTAATGTCTATATAGCCATTCCAGAAGGCATAAGAGCAGCTTTAGATAACAAGGTGGGCTTTGAGGGTTTTGGGTTTATGTTTCTCTTTCATTGTTATTGTTAATTGTATAGATATCCCATCTTTTCTCTGAGAATGCAAGGTGATTTAGATGGGAGTGAAACATCCCTTCTAATTTTATCCCATCCAGTAAGGTAGAATCCAATACAGGGTCTCAGCGTTCCACATTTAGCATCCTAACCACCATACTTTACTGATTGTTTCAGTTCTTGGGTTGTTACATTTTTCTTTCCTTTATCAGTTGGTATCAGATATTGCATTGATCAAGAATAATGCCATAGTGGGCAGTCGCATTGCTGTAGCCCTGAACAGACTCCAAAGAGGTCAGGGTGGGAGAGGCAACTTGTCTCAAAATGAAAACACACCTGATGTGCCAAGACCAGTGAGTACTTTTCCGTGTTTTTGCTTTTTTTTCAAGAATTCTGTTGTGTGACTGGTTTGCTGAGCTGGACCATTCTATCTGTTACCACGAGAAAGGGCAATGTCTAAATCATTTAGGTCAATCTTCACTCTGTAGATGACTTGGAGAATGGGTATTTCAACTGTCAACCAACATTATTCACTGGATTAAAGGTCATAGGAAAGCATAAGACCTGGCCAGGAAAATAATTTTAGGTAATGGGAGGCCCTGAGCAGCTAGTTGCTCTGCATTTTTGGAGCAATTTATCTGCTTATTTGAATGTTCAACTTATACTTTAAAGTGGAAGAGCTGTAAAAGTCAAATAAAAGTCCAACTGAACATTTGATAACATTTTCACATTTCTGTTTCCTTTTTAGGTAGTCATTGGTGGCATCAACATTGACATCATAGTCAAGGCAAAAGCTGCAACAATAAAAGTAATTTCATTTAATAATATTCAGATTTCACTCTTCATTTGATCTGTTACTTCAGAACTTATCATCTTTTCTGAATAACAGATCATAAGGATATGCAGATAATAATAGACTGTATAGACCAAGTCAAATTCAAACTGTTTGTAGAATTGCAATAAATTTGAAATGCAGCAAAAATTGCCCACTGCCAGCTTAAGCAAAGAAAAAAGTGTTCTCTAGAATCTTCAGTCAAAAATATATACATATTGCTGACTACCCTCATTCTGATTACCAAGGCTGTCTGTTCTTAAAAGAGACTTATATACAGGGTTGGACACTTCCTCCTTATATCAGTCATAAAGCTGATCGCTCATAATTTCAGAGAGATTTTTTTTTAAAAAAAATTAATCACAGAACAACAAACCTGCTACACGGCAGCAGAAGTCAAAAGCTTGAGACCCTCAACTTTTGATGCAAAAGCAGCCTTTGTGTTGTTAGAGAAACAAAGGCAGGGAGAAGCAGAATTCTCTACGCAATTGTAAGTGCGGATTGCTCACCCAGAAGAACTACTAGTATAGGGGAAGGCAACCTGGGCTCTTTTATGACTCGTGGACTTCAACTCCCAAAATTCCTGAGCCAGCTGTGCTGGCTCAGGAATTCTGGGAGTTGAACTCCACGAGTCATAAAAGAGCCCAGATTGCCTTCCCCTATACTAGAGGATCACCACAAAACAAAACCTAAGATAAAGCCTATTGGTCCATTTTATCCCCTGGCTACTCTCTATCCATTTCTTGTGGTGGTGTTACAAAGTGTCCACATTATTTTGCTCCTGGAAATTCACAACTGAGATGCAGAGAGTAATTGCTGTGACTTCTGCCATCAAAAGCACTCGCGTTGAGACTCTGGCATCTTATGAAGAAAAATAAATGGTGGGCCATTTTATAACAAATAGCAGCATTAAGGTAAATGCCACATTGAAATGTATTGGGCAGTTTGATTGTGGGTTAGAGAAACTACTGGCTCAAAAGTAATAGCTGTCCAGAAAACCCCACCCAGTGGGAATATATTGGTAATACCATGAATCAAAAGCATTGGAAATGTCTCATAACAGATAGCGCTTATCTAAGCAATGACTTGAATAGAGATGTTTGCTTTGTTCTGTGCCTAGATGGAACATTTGGTGCCAGGTGACATAAATACAACCTTTGGGAAAACCCACCTTTGTTGCATTTCCAACTGTTAGTGATTTATCTGACAGGTGGCTCAACAGAAGAATGTAAAAGAGGTGTAGACAGTGGTGAGATTTCATTAACGTGAACTAAAAAACAAAACCTTCCTAATGCTTAGAGCAGTGGTTCTCAACCTGTGGGTCGGGACCCCATTTGGGGTTGAATGACCATTTCACGGGGGTCGCCAAACAACGCAGTCCACCATTTTTCCCCCCTTTTCCTTAGCTGTGCTACTCCCTTTTATTCTATTGGCTTTTGAAAGCCAATAGAATAGACTCTCTTGAATAGAGTCTAATTCTATTGGCTTTCAAAAGCCAATAGGAATTGTCCAGGCTGTCTCTGCCCTGCTGAGCCCACCAAAAGTCCCATTCTGCAAACGATGCTGCACCAGTTGAGTAGTTCTCGACTTACGACCGGTTGGGGTCGCGGCATTAAAAAGGTTGAGAACCACTGGCTTAGAGACAGAAAGAAAACACACACTATGATAAATTAGCCCAGATGAAGTACTTTACTATACAGTACAAGTAGTCCTCGATTTATAACAGTTCATTTAGTGATCATTTGAAGTTACAATGGCAGTGGAAAAAGTGACAACCATTTTTCACACCTATGATTGTTATAGCATTCCCATGGTCACATGACCAAAATTCAGATGCTTGGCTATTGGCTCATATTTATGACGGTTATGGGTCATGTGAACCTCTTTCGTCTTTAGTGATTTGACAAGCAAAGTCACTGGGGAAACCAGATTAACTTAAAGAATCATGTTGCTAACTTAACATCTGCAGTGATTGATCTCCAAGCAAGGTGGTAAAATGGGCCAAAATTCACTTAACAAATGTCTCACTTAGCAATAGAAATTTGGGGCTCAGTTATGGTCCTTAAGTCAAGGATTATCTGTAGTTTAGAGGACTTGCAAAGACCAATGCAGGTGAAAGGAATCAATTCAATAAAAAACAGCTGTAGGAATTTCTGATATCAGTCCAGGAGGCAGAGACATATTGTTGTGATAGGATCAAAAGTGATGTTGCTAAATCAGATGTCCTTATTGAAATTTATTAGGCTATAGAACACTTGCTGCTTTCACTGATGGTACTGACTTCCTTTTTAATTTGACTTATTCATTTTAAAACTGGGTTTATCTAACATGCTAAAAAGCAGTGTGGCTTGTTTCATTTTACCTTATTATACAACTACATAAGATTTTTGACTGGGCTTTTTTCAAAGTTCCATATCTACTATAAGCAAAATGGGGAAAGATTAATTCAGATACTGTTGCATGCAACTTTCCAACAGCTTTGCAAAGTTGCCATCTCTTGCATTCATTGATCTAACACATAATCAGAAGCATATGGCTGTCCAGATGGTGGATTATAGTTACAATTTATATTGTATCTGATCCAGCCTCCCTATCAACATCTGGAGAGTGACAGATTCCTGAGTGCTGCTTCAATCCTTTTATGCTAGAAAATGTACATAAAATTTTGTCTTCTGCCTCTGCTCTATTGCTTGCCAATTGTTATATAGATAGGTTAGCTGAGCCTGTTCACAAAGCTCACTTTCCCCAAGCTGCATTTCTTAAACCAGTTCCAAATGAGCACTGAATTAGCTAAGTAGTTACAGATGGAGCCAAACTACCTCCAACAATGTTTTCCTTCATTTAACAATGATCATTTATCACACTTATACATTTGATTGCATATAGAAGTGAAATATCCGGTTAAAATGACTAATAGTAAGTAGTGAGCATGGATGCCACTAATATTATTCTACAATCTGAGATAAAAAGAAATTAGCATCACATCTCTATTGGTATGAGTTAAGTTTCTATTGGATTGAATAGGAAATACAGGTAGTCCTTGACATACAACCACAATTGAGCCCCAAATTTTTGTGGCTAAGCCAGACATTAGTTAAGTGAGTTTTGCCTCCTTTAATGACTTTTTCTGCCATGGTTGTTAAGCAAATCACTGCAGTTGATAAGTTAGTAATACGATTGTAAAGTGCATCAGGCTTCCCCATTGACTGCTTGTCAGAAGGTCGCAAAAGGTGACCCCGGGACGCTGCAAACATCATAAATATGAGTCATGGCCAAGCATCTGAATTTTGATCACATAACCATGGGGATGCTGTAATGGTTGTGTGAAAAACGATCATAGGTCACTTTTTTCAGTGCTAAATGAATTGTTGTATGTCGAGCACTATCTGCATAGAATAGCCAGTGTTGCTGGCTGAGGAATTCTGGGAATTGAAGTCCACAAGTCATAAAAGGGCCAAGTTTGAAGACGCCTGGTATAGAATAAAGGATTGTAATCTACCTAATCAGAATCGCAGTGGACTTCAATTTCTGCTTTACTTTATTGATTTATCTTCTATACTTTCAGGATGGGGGGCAGACAAATCCAGCTACAGTGAGACAATCCTTTGGTGGTGTGGGCAAAAATCTAGCAGGTAATTCATTCTCATTGTTTCCACAGTGGGTATATATAGTTTCTAGCATAGTTTTCTCTGACCAATCCAGATCTGTTGGACTACTTCTCCCATCCCTCTGCTAGCACTGCATCAGATCAGGGAAGGCTGTTTCATTGTATAATTCACTTTAAAGCTTGCCATCATAAAAATACAGATCATATTGTTTTCCGTTTGTTTCGCTTTCGTGATATATACAATTAGTAAAATGGAGTACATCCAACATGCAAGCATCTGGGGCACTGGGTATGGTTGCAAGAAAAAAGGCGGGAAAGATAGCTACGATGTGCTCCAAGAATGGAAGTTCTACAAATAATAATAATATAATTCAAAGTATGCTGTTCAAGAGTCAGCTGCTTCACTCTCAGTCTCCATACATACACTGTACTATACTTCCTCTCTCTTCATAAGAGCATTGTAGTTTACTTTCAACCCTAATCCTAGCCCCGAACTGTAATTTACGACACCCACTCTATTCTCCCAAACTCTATTCTTGAGACACAGCAAGCAAAATTACTGGGATAAGAAAATAGGCTTCATCGCTCCCTTATTAATTCAGGTTAAAAAACACATATCATTTTTCTCATCAAATTATTTTTGACAGACTTAGGAAAGGCTCTATTCCTCTCTGATCCTCCCATACTAAACCCTAAATGGGAGAGAATTGTAATTCAAGGCTAGACCGTATGCTTTGCATCCAGAAGGTTTCAAATTCCATCTCCAGCATCTGTCTTAGCACCTTTCTTTGAAAGAACATCCTCTCCAGAGGTACAGAAAGATTTAAATGATCCCTGGAAACCACAGGTCAAGGTGTGCAGTGTCACTTTTGGTTAAATTATGTATTTTCTCCCTATTTTATTTACTGTTCTGTTATTATTTCCTTTGCCTTTTGCTATTGTATCTGTTTTTAATCTGCATGCCATCCAGAGTGATTGCGGAATTGGATAACTTTATAAATGCAGACCATCCATCCATCTGTCTGTCTATCTGCTAACCTATTATTTAGAATTTTAGTGGGAAAATTGTGAGGCATCCACCTAGCCTTGTGGCTGAGCAGAAACCATGGAACAGCTATATAACTGTCCATAATGCACAGCAACCTCCCTTACAGTATACCATATGCTAATTTCTCTACATTACAATGGCACAAGATAAGATGCCAATAGTTATAGTTCTTCTTCCTCCTTATTATCAGCTCGCTAAATGATAGGACACAGCAGGGAAAGAGCAGGAAATCCCAAGAGCCTTTTGTTCTGTTCTGTGCGTTGGTAAGGCATTGAGACGAGGCAGAAGTAATAATAATAATAATAATAATAATAATAATAATAATAATAATAGCCCCCAGTGAGACACTACCTTGACGTGGTTGTGGGGCTTGTGTACTCTGAGGAAGATGAGAGCTATGCCAGAGGTTCAACCATACTGGACAGGTCTCATCAGAGGAGTCAGACAAAGAGTGTCTCTCCCATAAAAAATATGGTGAGACGTAAATTTCAGAATGCCATACCGGCTCGGACATCGCCCGGGTTAACAAGGTCCGCACTAGATATTGGAGTTCCTGGATATCTGGTGAAAAATGGGTTACAGGACTCAGGACTGTTGGCTGAGCAACCAGGGCCAGCAGCTGCAGAACTATTGGAAGAAAAGGTGTTTACCCGTCGCAGATACACAGTGATGGAAAACAAAGAAATAATGATCTGTTACTACAGATCAAGTCCAACAAGAAGAGGATATCTAAAACGAATGCACCAGTTCTGGAAAGAACAACATCCAGAATCAGAAATAACAGAACAGAGACTAGCAGATCAACGCCGATTTATAACACGAAATAAAGTATTCACAGAAACAGAATTGGACGAACTGCAAAGGTTTACCCAGGGCAAAGAAATCAAAGCGTTACCAGAAGTAATTCAGAATGTAGAGGCAAACCAGGGGGAGTTGGCAGTGAAGGAATCTAGCAGAGATATACAACTGTTCTCATTTGGAAACCAGGCACCTCTACCTCAGGAAGAACAAAACCCTCTAACTAAAGAAATAAAAGAATTGAAACAAAGAATAACTGAGCATCTAGAACAGCACAAAAACAACAGAATAAGGCTACCTGCATTGAAGCTTGTTCCAAAGAAACAGCTAGCACAAGCATTAAAAGATGCAAATATTTCAATATCAAGTATAAGCACCAATTCACTGCAAGAAACAAACCAACTAATGTACAGCACAGCTGCAGTTATAACAGAATACCTGGGATGCAAAATCAACAAAGAAGAAAAACAAACAAACAGTGCACCAGAAAAATGGAAGGTTAGACTAGAAAATAAGATCAGCAAGTTAAGATCACATGCAAGCAAGCTAGAACAGATGAAAGAAAAGAAGCTGAAGAACAAGAAGACCAAAGAATACCTAATCAAGAAATACCACTTAGAAACAAGGAAGATCAAGGAAGCACTGGAAATAATAAAGCAACAAATAACAGCTATAGCCAGGAAAATCAGTAGATATGAAGCTCGAATTGCAAACTATAGGCAGAACCTCCAATTTCAATCCAATCAGAAACGTTTCTACCAATCCATCAATGGAGAAACTGCAAGGAATCAGTCAGTACCTGACAAGGAAGAAACAGTGCAGTTCTGGAAGCAGATATGGGATAACCCAAAGAAATACAACAAGGATGCGGCTTGGTTAAAAGAGGTGGATGCAAATAAAACAGAAGTTGAAATGAAAGAACTAGTAATAACAACAAAAATGGTAGAAAAAAGAGCAAGGAAAATCAAAAATTGGTCAGCACCAGGTGAAGATGAACTGCATGGGTTTTGGTTGAAACATCTAACTGTTATACATCCACTCATTTCCAAGCAGTTCAACAATATACTACAAGGAGGAGAAATTGAAAAGTGGCTAACAACTGGGAAAACCTACCTAATAATAAAAAATCCAGCAAAAGGGGCAACACCAGGCAACTACAGGCCAATTACCTGTTTACCAACAACTTTCAAATTACTAACTGGTGTGGTAGCTGATGCAGTACAACAGCATCTAGTTGAAAACAATCTCTTTCCACCTGAGCAGAAAGGAAACCGCCCCAATAGCAGAGGAACAAAAGATCAACTCCTAATAGACAAAATGATCTTGGAAAACTGCAAGAGAAGGAAGACCAACCTGAATGTGGCATGGATTGACTACAAAAAGGCATTTGACTCTCTGCCACATGATTGGATAATAAAGTGCCTAGAAATAACAGGAGTCAGTAGAAACATCAGAAAATTTGTGCAAAGATCGATGGCACAATGGAAGACACAGTTGCAATCAATGGTGAGAGCTGGGAGAGGTTAATATCAAGAGAGGAATATTTCAAGGAGATTCATTATCACCATTACTATTTGTTATTGCACTGTTTCCTCTGTCAACAATACTGAATAACTCAGGACATGGCTATCAAACATCAAAAACATCTGCCAGACTATCCCACCTCCTTTACATGGATGATCTGAAGCTGTATGGAAAAACATCATCTGAAATAGAATCGCTGCTCAACACTGTCCGTATATATAGCCAAGATATTGTAATGGAGTTTGGCTTGGACAAATGTGCCACACTTACTATCAAACAAGGAAAAATAGTGAAAACTGAAGGAATCAAGATGCCCCACGAAAATAACATTAAGAGTCTGGATGAGGAAGAGTACTACAAATACTTGGGTATCCTTCAAGCTGACAACATCAAGCACACTGAAGTCAAGAAAAAGATTAGAGGTGAATACATCAAGAGAGTGAAGAAGATCTTAAAGTCCAAACTCAATGGAGGAAATACCATAAAGGCAATCAACACCTGGGCAATCCCAGTCATTAGGTACACAGCTGGAATAGTGGACTGGACTCAAGCAGAACTAAAAGCAATGGATAGGCAGACCAGAAAAATAATGACAATGAATCATGCCCTTCATCCACGCAGTGACATTGATAGACTTTATCTACCAAGGCAAATAGGTGGGCGTGGAATGCTACAAGTACATCAGATGGTTGAAGAAGAAAAAATGGCTTTGGAAGAATATCTGAAGAACAATGATGAAGATGCACTGAAATTAGTATATCAGGAAGGCTTACTAACTACTGGAGAGACCAAACTGGCCTACAAGAAAGACCAAATGAAGAACAGAATAGAGGCATGGGAAGACAAAGCACTACATGGCCAATACATGAAAAAAATAGCTGGGAAAGCAGATAATAATAAAACCTGGCAATGGCTAAGAGCAGGAAAATTGAAGAAAGAGACCGAGGGACTAATTCTGGCTGCACAAGACCAAGCCTTAAGGACAAATGCATACAAAGTCAAAATTGAGAAGACAGCAACAGACAGTAAGTGCCGCCTATGCAAAGAAGCTGAAGAAACAGTGGACCACTTGGTAAGCTGTTGCAAGAAGATTGCACAGACTGATTACAAGCAGCGGCATGACAAAGTAGCAACAATGGTGCATTGGAAGATCTGCAAAAAATATCATTTGCCTGTAAGCAAAAACTGGTGGGATCATAAAATAGAGAAAGTCATAGAAAATGATAAAATTAAACTGCTCTGGGACTTCAGAATTCAAACAGACAAGCACCTGCAACATAACACCCCAGACTTAACAATTGTCGATAAGAAAGACAAAAAAGTCTGGATAGTGGACGTGGCAGTGCCTGGAGATAGCAGAATAGAAGAGAAAGAACTGGAGAAGATAACAAAATACAAAGACCTACAAATAGAAATAGAAAGACTGTGGCAAAAGCAAGCAAGGGTAGTACCAATAGTAATAGGCTCCTTGGGTGCAATCCCAAAACAACTGGAGCACCACTTGAACACCATTGGCATTGACAAATTCGCTATTAGTCAATTGCAAAAGGCGGCCTTATTAGGAACTGCTTCCATCCTGCGACGATATCTGTAATACCATCAAACATCCACATCTGCCTATCCCAGGTCCTGGGTAAGGACTCGATAGGTAGACAAAATGCCAAATCCAGTCTGAACATCTGGCTGACTGTGCAATGATCCATAATAATAGTAATAAAGTTGGAAGGGACCTTGGAGGTCATCGAGTCCAACCCCCTGCTCAGGCACGAACCCTACACCATTTCAGACAAATGGCTGTCCAGTCTCTTCTTAAAGATTTCCAGTTTTGGAGCATTCACCGCTTCTGGAGGCAGGTTGTTCCACTGGTTAATTGTTCTAACTGTCAGGAAGTTTCTCCTTAGTTCTAAGTTGCTTCTCTCCTTGATCAGTTTCCATCTGCTGCTTCTCGTCCTGCCTTCAGATGCCTTGGAGAATAGCTTGACTCCCTCTTCTTTATGGCAGCCCCTGAGATATTGGAACACTGCTATCATGTCCCCCCTCATCCTTCTCTTCGTTATTTAGACATACCCAATTCCAGCAACCGTTCCTAGCTTCAACAAAACCTCAACAGAACCACCAACAAGATGGCGCAGATCTCTTTTATACCCTTTTGCAGGGACAGTATCAGCCAATAAATGCAACGTATTTTCCCGCTTTGTGCGTGCGCAATAGGCTGGCGACAGCCTGTCTGGCCCGGGCAGCCATGTGGTCTGCCCGGGTCTCTTTGCAGCTTCCTGCACCTGTTCTGTTAATCACAGGCCCAGGACATAACACCTTTCACTTTGATGTTGTTGTTCAAATAGTCAACCAAGTTTAGCTTCATTTTACTTTTTCTTTTCTTTTTTAGATTGCTTAAGTCGTCTTGGGAAGATGCCTGTTTTTATTTCAGTCATGGGGAAAGATGAGCATTCAGAATCTGTTCTGCGACACTGCAGGCATATGGTAGCTTGCAACATTTGACAATTGTTAACTTATGAACTTACAACATTTTAGTATAATATATGTACTTCCAATTTTCTTTTCTTTTTTCTTTTCTTTTCTTTCTTATTTGTTTGTTTGTTTGTTTGTTTATCCAATTTATATAGCGGGCCATCTTACAGAACAACTAACTTTGGGCAGTGAATAACAAAACTAAAGCCTTTTATTTGCTTTTGTTCTTTGTTTTCCTTTCTTTCAATTTTGTAACTTTGAGTTTTAATTTTTATAATTTGTTTGCCCAATATTCATCAAATCAGCATTTTCTTTTAAGTGACAGACTACATGGGCAACACTGTGGAAGCTGTTATATTCAGTCAGGGGCTGTACAGCTTAATTTGCAAGTTGAACATGGTGAATATGAAGTTTAAATATTTGCCCTCTGCCTGGACAGTATTTAAACTGCAAATTATGTCCATGTTTTGTTTTTAATATCTTAAAAATAGCTTTGTTACTGTTTATTAATTTGATTGTAAATGACTTAAAATAATGGTGAGAAGTGGCATATAAATATCAATAAATGAAATTGTTAAGTGGTATAGGTTGTGCCATAGAGAAGCAGACTAGCAGAAAGAGTCTCAGTGAAGTCGTAAGTGTTCAGGAAGGATGCCTATGGAGATTCTCAATCATCCAGGTCATGGTTGTCCCAAAAATGCTTTTTCAAAAGGTAACTTTCTTTGTTTTTTCCTGAAGCTTCTTCAGAATATCATTTCTGGGATGTTCAGGAAGGAGTCTATAGGAATATGCAGTCCTGCAACTCAATTGCTATATAGAGTTTTAAAAGCGAAGCGTAGAAAAACAATTTCTGAGAATGAAAAAACTGTTGCTAACTTTGTCTCTCTTGGTTTGCTTTAAGGATATGAGAGGAGTCTTACAACTGAAAGGATGCAACACAGCAACTTACTGTGCTGTAATCACAGGCACTGGAGAACTTACCTTTGGTTTAGGAGACATGGAAATCCACCAGCAGATAACAGAGCAATATGTAAGGTCTTCCTGTATTCTTCTGATTACAGTGCCTGGTATTGATTGGATTTTTTTTTTATCATTGTCATTGTTTGCTTTCTTAAGAGCAGAGTACAGCTCTTTGATATTCAACATAGATCCTGTCCTCATTTTACACTTTATCATAGTGCAATCATGTCCTGACAATACCAGTTGTCCCCTTAGTCACACAGTGTTGTCCTCACCTGGTCCTGAGCCTATGAGTAGACAGCCTACAGCCATCACTAAGGATAAAAGTAGAATCTCCTTCCCCCTCATCCTTTTAGGCTATTATTATCCTATTACTACATCATCACTATTATGGATATCATATATTTTGGAAGTTTTACTAAACTGAAGTACAATCTATTTTGCAGTTCAAAAAGTGAAATTTCGATATCTAGTATTTTGAAGCCAGGAGCTTTCAATGATCACAGAGAGCGTGACTGATGATGACATAACATCTATGAAATAAGCAGATGTTGTTGTATCAGGGTTTTGGCAGATGAAATATGGAGGCTGAAGGCACTTGTGTCATCCAATTTTAGCCTGCCGTAATTTTTCCCCAAAACAAAAAGATCCAGCAAATATTGGCCCTGCTCACTCTTGGTGTATTCTGACAGGTATTGGGATAGGGCACATGCAGCATCTACATTGTCCACCCTTCTCCTAAATAAACAAAGAGCTGAAAAGATATATCATATACTGTGTTACCCTGGAGAGTTGATCACATCTACATTTTATAATTAGCTACATTTTCATTTATTTCTGTCTCATACACCCTCCAAAGATGTTAGGGTGGTAGAAATGATGTTTCCTTAGTTCCAGGTTTGTTTTCCTACTGGAAAATCCCCAGTGCTGTGCCTCTGTGAATCATTACCCTCAAGCCTGGCCCAGGTAATCCGTTATTCTAGACACTTTTGCCTGTAGTGCATTTGTTTTTCTAGCTTATGATGGACTGCTGAAAGCCTCAGAAGAGGCCTCCACCCACAATTCCTTCCAGATGTTGATTTCTAATACGTGCCTATCTGTGGAGATACAAGTAATCATGACTTGCTTGATGAGTGAGGCATATTTTAGGACACTAATGGAAAAGACAATTAAGAGTGATTCAGATGGAACTCCACCCTTTCCCCCATGAATGAAAAGCTGAAAAAAGTGCTAGACCCTGCTCTTAACAGCTGATCATATTTTCTTAAGCATTATGCATGTCAGTAAATCACTTATTACAGATCTTTAAGAAATTGGAAATTCATTTTTGAAAGGAAAAACAGTAATCATTCTTCCCACTGCATCACCACACTCTTCAGATTCCCATTTGTTTTACTAAAGAAATGGTTGATTTGATTATATGCCAACAGATCATTGTTGACTCTTAGCAACAACATAGATTTGTTTCTCCATGATGATCTGTCCCTAACCTGGTCCTTTTAAGTTCTTCCAGTGGTGCTCCCATCACCATTATACCTATTTACTTTGCTGCTATCCCAAAGGTGCATTTTCAAAAGGCAACTTTGCTTTTCCTTGAAGACATTTTACTTCTCATCCAAGAAGCGAAATGTCTTCAAGGAAAAACAAGGTCCAGTTGCCTTTTGAAAAAGCACCTTTGGGACAACCATGATTCAGATGACTGAGAATCTCCATAGACATTTACCTTGCTGCTAGTCATCCTCTTCTTTTTTTTCCTTCAAGTTTTCTCACAATTAGAGCCTTCTCCATAGATCTAAGTCTTTACATAATATGTCTGAAGTAAGATAATTTGAATCTGGTCATTTGTTATTTGAATGAGAACTCTGTGTTGAGTTGTTTGATGATTTGCTGATGTTTCAGTATTTTCATGAGTCTTCTCCAATACCAGAGTGCAAAAGAATTAAACCAAAGAAATGAAGGTAGGGAGAGAGGAATAACCATTAAATGATTTTTTTCCTTATACAATAACAACAAAAGTCCTCAGAATTTTTGTCATCCTCAACCACACAAGCAATGTGTTATGTCCTGAGCCTTGCAAGCGGGCTCGGGGCGTTGCAGGCGGTCCCGGGCAGGTGCAAGCTGCCCGGGACCAGACAGGCTGTCGCCAGTGCTTGTGCGCATGCGCAAGTGCTGGCGCGCGAAAAGTAACACATTGACCCGGGAAAGTCCTATAAAAGGAGGCTGCGAGGTGTGGGCTTTTGCCGCCATATTCCAATGTAAGCTGAACTGAAGAATAAAGGTTTCCTGAGAACTACAACTGCTTCTCGTGTCTTACCATTTCGCGACGGACTCAACACTGGCGACGAAGGTGGGATGCCTTACATCAAAGAAGAGAAGGTGTAAGCTTACCCAAGTGAGTCCGGAGCGGCAGGAACGGCGTTGACTCGGCAGCTACCCGCCAATCCAGCGTGCATTCGGGGGTAGGCTGGCTGATAGACCCTTCCTGATACGAAATGGCGAAGATTGGAAGGCTTTCAGAATTCGACGTCTCACATCCAGAGAGGTGGGAGTCCTACGTAGCCAGGGTGGAAAACTACCTCAAAGTGAACCAGGTGAGGGAAGAGAGCTTGAAGGCTGCCACCCTGTTGTGCGTTTGCGGTCAAGACGCATTCGAAATCGCCGAGAACCTCGCAGCACCTGTTCCTTTAGAGTCTGTCAGCTACGCAGATCTAAAGAAGTTACTGAAGGAGCACTTCTAACCCAAGATGTCCGTCATCGCGTGGCGCCACACCTTCGAGCAGAGGGATCAACGACCCGGAGAATCGGCCAAGGAGTACATCGCCGCACTGAGGAAAGCCGCCAAACATTGCGAGTTCAAGGACCTCGAAGAACGACTGAGGGACCGATTTGTGTGCGGGCTAAGGCATCGAGAGTTGCAACAGAGACTTTTCGCCAAGGAGGACTTGTCTTTCCAAGATGCCTTGAGAGAGGTCACCGCAGAAGAAGCAGCGGGCGGCGCCTTCAAGAACATGCGGCCGATCAGAAACAGTCCAGATGCTGCATCTGTGCACCAGGAAGAAGTCCAAAGGAACTCCAAGGAGGATCCGGACGAGGAAGTGGACTGTCTCCACCCCACAAAGGAAGGAAAACCAAGAGGAAGCTCTTCAGCTCTCCCCAAGTGCATTGGTTGTGGAGGTCGCCACAAGAGAGCCGACTGCAAGTTCCGCTCCGCTATCTGCCAGGCGTGCGGAAAACAAGGACACATTGCAGCTGTGTGCCTGGGCCATCAGAAGGTACAACCTCAGGAAGAATTGCGCCTGAAAGGTACCAGGGTCCCCAGCCAGAATAGGGTGGGGTTTTGCGCTTCGCGAAGAAGCATCTACAGGACAGGCACACACAAGCCCATTAAGAAAAAGCTGTCACTTAAGGTGAAGCTACAAGGGGTTCCATTAACTATGGAACTGGACACGGGGTCTGCACTTTCAATCATTTCTATGCACACATTTAGGAAGATTTGTTCCGGCAGTGGAACCCAGGCCAAGTTGAGGCCTTCTGACATTGTGCTAACGGATTTTCAAAACTCCAGAGTGTGTGTTAAGGGGGAGGCCACCCTTAACGTACAGTATAAGGATTTTGAGGGTCCACTAGACCTACTAGTAGTAGAGGGTGAACGAACGAGTCTCATAGGACTCGAGTGGTTTGAGGCCTTGGGGATACACATCACAGGGCTCAACAGCCTACAAACACTCGACCTACAGGAAGTCTGCAAAGAATTTGCAGACGTTTTCAGCCCCCAGCTGGGCACATTCCAAGGACCCCCTGTGTCATTAAAGTTAGACCCCACGGTCACTCCCATTAGAATTAAAGCAAGAAGGGTCCCTTTTGCTTTAAAGAGTAAAATTGACACTGAGTTGGACAAACTGATCCAACAAGGAATTCTAGAGCCTGTTGACTCCAGTCCATGGGAGACCCCCATTGTCACACCTCTTAAGGCAGCGGTTCTCAACCTATGGGTTGCGACCCCATTTGGGGTCGATCGACCATTTCACGGGGGTCACCAAACCCCGCTGTCCGCCATTTTTTTTCCCTTTTCTAACTGTTCTACTTCCTTATTTGGCTATATAGAAAGTGCCGTTCCTGCCTCCTTCCTCCTTGCGCATGCACAGCTTTTTTCTATTTAAAGTTAGGAAGTTTCGGTTTCGGAGCACGTGGAGGAAAGCAATACAGAGGACAAGCGAGAGAGAGCAAACAGCGGAAAGAAAGAGAGAAAACAACTAAAAACAGTAAGTTTCCTCTCTGGCCTGCCGCTGAGCTTCCTCTGCTTGGCAGAGGAATATATGTACCGTATTTTCCGGCGTATACGGGTACTCTCTAATTATTTCAGTGGAGTTTAAGTTTGTAGTTCGTTTTGTTAAAGTTAAATAAACGAATCAAAAATTCTTGCATACTTATCTCTCTAAGCGTCAAGGATCGCAAAGCAACATGAGCCACAAATTACTTTTGTGCATCAATTTCTCACTATTTCCCATTGTGCCAAGGCAAGGTTTTTTGTTTTTTTTTTCATTGTATCATAGAAATCCCCTCATTTTCCCTGCTGCCCAGCCGCTTCTCTCTTTGTTCCGGCCTCTCCCCTCGTCGCCTGCTGCGCTCTCCAGACTACTGTTTTGGGCTCATCTCGCCACCACCCCCTCCCTCACGTCTGAGCGCCACCTCCGCCTCCGGAGCCGACCCTCCCCTCCGCCCGCTGCCCTGGTCAAGTCCCTTCGTGCGCTCCACTCACCACTTGCTTCTCTCCATTCAGCGCTCTTTGCACTCTGCTCCTTGTAGCCACCGACGCCGCCTCCTCGCCATGTCCCAGCGCGGTTCTCCTACTGGCGCACGCTCCACTCCCCGCTCGGCTTTAGGCGCCCTCCATCCCCGAGGCGCACGCCAAACGCATCACAAGGATCGAGTCTCTCGAGCTCGACCTACCAGCAGGAGCGCCGTGCTGGGACATGGCGAGGCGGCGGCGGCTACGAGGAGCAGAGCGCAAACAGCGCTGAATGGAGAGAAACACTTCTCTCCATTCACCACTGTTTGCGCTCTGCTCCT